ATGTTGATGAGGAGTTGGAGCGTCTGGAAATAGTGTTAGGCAGATTGCGGGCAGCCGGACTAAAACTCAAGCCAAAGAAATGTGACCTATTCAGAACCAGTGTAATGTATTTGGGTCATATAGTGTCGAAAGATGGGGTAGCCACGGATCCAGACAAAGTCAGGGCCATAAAAGAGTGGCCAACGCCAACAAGTGTGAAGGATGTAAGAAGTTTCTTGGGGACAGTGTCCTATTATCGCCGGTACGTAAAAGGATTTGCCAAGATAGCAGTACCTTTGCATAGATTAATGGAGAAAAATAGAATGTTTAACTGGGATACAGAATGTGAGATTGCTTTCCAGGTATTAACGGAGTGTCTGATGTCTGCCCAGTACTAGTGTATCCACAGGAAACGGGGGAATAGACCTTGGGAAGCATCACGAGACACGGCTATCAGATTATAATCATATCGCGGTCTAATCATGCTCACCACCGTGTGCTCAATAATCAGTTAAAAAGTATGGGAACAACCAAATACCAGCTTTCAGCTTCCAACTCCATTTACAATTGCAAACAACTCTGTTAAATATCTAGGCATGTGTTGTAGGTTACCAACCAATACGCGTAACTGCAAACCATTGACTGATTACGTAGTTTCTAGGTTACGACTCTCAAAGATAAATAACCTTGGAAATGCAACAACATATACCATTCCGTAGAATATACGTTCATAATATGCCTGCTGTTAACAATTCATTGCTTAACATCGTGAGAAAACCTCATGTACATGGTTCTGATAGAGATTAGGGACGCAGGTCTGTGAATATAGACAATTGTATTGTCTTTATTAAATGCGTTGTTCCAAAACATTTTCTTACGTATTTTTTTCTTTGGATTAATCCTCGCCCTAACTTTTAATGATCAAGTCCTAACTGTGCTTGATACTACTATTACCGTTAAATATTCGCCAAACTGACAAAGGTTTTTCAGATAACGACTAGGTGTATACCAATATGTTTAGGGCTATCATGGGGAAGAGAGTGAAACGAATGCTACATAGCTACAAATTCCAAAGGCTTATGTGCTGCATACGTCATTATGAGGAATTACCCGAAGATTTATGTTTTTTTTCAAGTTATGATTTGATAGAAACAATGTTAGTTGATTTGGAACGGATTTTCTGATTTATCCCCCCCCCCAAGAATTAACTATGCCATTTATGACTAAAATCTGAACACAACCGCACAAATGACTGTAATAAACCTGACACGATTAGCACAGAATAGCAGCTCGACACTTATCAATTTTCTAGTTTCTATGATTTTCCTTGTTATATCAAATCTGTGGAATTTCAAACCTTCAAACGACAAGAATACAGTTTTTCATAATAAACCTGTGCGTCTGCTAGTGCTCTTTGTACATCCTCGGGCAATTGCATTTGTGATGTGTTCTCGGAGTGAGGCCTCACAAACCCAGTACTAGCAACCACTGTATTAAACCAGCCGTCTTCCCATGCTTCACAATACTCAGCTGGGCGTGCATCCCAATTCAACATCTCATCAGTGTATACAAGACCCATCTCGTTACAGTATACTTTCATCATAGCCTTAGGATTATTCAGTAAATCGTCCGAATCAACCACAACTACGGGTTTATGGTTATGACTATGGTTTTTCTGTATGTACACGTACAACTCCCACAGCTCACGGAAACCAACTTCTTCGGCGAGGAACGTTGACCACTCTGGAATCGAGCCTGCTGAAATCAACTTATAAAGCGACTTGACTGATTTACTTGGGTTGCGGATTAAAAATGAGTGTCTGTATCCCGGGGGGAATCACGTCGAATCTGTTCTTTAGAGAGTATGCCATCTCTTTGCTAAACACTGCGTTGTATCCCGTAAATGTACCGGCTAGTTTTGACTGCATACTTTTGAACGTAAGACCTCGTATCGGCGGTTTGTCGTTGTATCGACGGCTTTGTCTCTCCTCGCCGAAATAGTAGGCATTGGAGAAAGGTTCGAAGAATATCTTCACTCGGTCTAAAGAGCTGATAGACTTTGTGAAAACCGTTGATGTGCTTCGCAATATGGTCCATAACATCACCTTTGTCGCGGGCACACGTACTTCGTCCATGTTTCAGCAGTATCTGACCTTAACTGTGAACTGTTTGTAGCCTGGCAGCAGACTGTTTAGTGGCTTATATTAAATTACCTACTGTGTAAAGGGTCAGCATTGTGTGTTATTCTATAGCAACTGGACCACGTGTTCACGGTGGTGATCATAGCGATAATTTTGCTGCGTAGAACAGATCTATATTTGAATTTAACTTTCCACGACAACGAAATAACTGATTCATTATTTTAGACTTTTGATGAACAGTATTATTTCCTTATCTAAGCACGGTTACACTATTTTTTTCTTTTCTGGAAACAGTTGGGATCCTTTATTAATAGTTTATTCACTTAATTTCACATGCAACAAAATTTACATTGGATATATTCATGTTGGTCAAACCAAGAAATTAATACCCTTTTCCATGCGTTGTAAACTTAAAATATACATCACATTCGAATACACTGATTCCCATAAGTGGTTCCCTCTAGCGACCCAGGCAACCTGTTGATATTGTTTTTATATGGATTAATCCACTAATTCAAACAATTAATATTTTTTCTGATATAACTGATATATTCCAAATTACGAAAGTATACACAACCAACATTACGTGGCGCTTCGTCGCTAGGTGGCACCACTTCCAGGAAAGGTGCTTGTATTACAATGTTAATTCTCCATGGATACGGCTGCCAAGAAGGTCATCATAAATACGGAAGTTCTGGAGATATTGATGATAGCGCCCTCATTTACAGGATTGAGTTCGTCGTCGTACACACACAGGATTGTTGAAAGCTCTCTCGCGCAACGAAATATCGAATCTTCGTAACTATAAATAGATTAGGAACAAATAGTATTAAACGAGGAATAATGTGCTGACCTTTGTTACTAAATTACACGCTCTGGTAACTGCGCGTTTCACTTATTTTAAAAAAAACGAACATGTGTTAAAGCGGGAGGGGCGTCACCTGCGCACGCGCGGGAATTGAGTCCCAAGCGACGATAACAGCACACGCTAAAAACGCAAAGGCTCATGGGTAGACGCATGTTTGCAAACAATGACACGCTATGGCCATCTGACGCATGCGCTGGTGATGACCCTCCTGCTTTAATTTCAGAAATATGATGATATCAAATTACGATATATGTATTGGTTAATCACAAGTTACATCAACATTATAACGACGGTAGTGATGTTTTCTCACTTTGAATAATAACCATAGCCTTGTTTAGATGTTATATACTCGTACGTACCAGTAATCCGTTGGGTAGCCAGTGACAGTTTCATTGACAACAGTAGTGGCACTGCCCCCACCGTCCAAATTAATAGCATTCACTAAACCAAGCTCAAGTAAAAAGTCGGCAAAATCCCAAAGACTGATACTAAAATAGAACAACATGATATCATTGGAATTTGTAGCCATTTGTTTTTTCATTTCAGTTGGAAATATTACAGGACACACCCCAGTTCGTGTATAGCAGTGTAGTGTAGCGCAACGCAATGTGGCGTTGCACAGTGCAGCGCTGTCAGGTGCGCATGCAGTACAGTACAGCACAGTGCAGTACAGCTGTGTAGTGACATGGCAATTTCGCTAATTTGAAGTCATGTTAGGTTAGCGCCTTTATTTATCGATGCAGCAAAACGCAACGCGATGTAGTGTAACGTAGCAAAGGGCAGCGCAATGTATCGTAGTATAGTGCAGCGCATGCGCAGCGCAGTAGATTGCAGCACAGTGCAGTACAGAACAGGGCTAGCTAGCATAGGGTTGTGTAGTTACATGGCTACCACACCAAAGTCCTGTCAGGATATCGCACACTGGCAGATTACCGCACTTCTTTACGCAGCTGAACTAGGTATAGAACGCTGTAAGCTCCGCTTTGCGATGTATCAGTGACTCACCCATGGTCTCCTGTTTTTCCATCGACTTGTACCATGATCAGTCTTCCCTCCTTGTCATGGCCAACGGCAGCTCTAGCTGACAAAACGTCAACGAAATAATCCATTTCTCCTGCAAATACATTATACTCTCGTGCATGATGTGGTATATGTTATGTTACAGTGTTACAGCTTGGAATTGTTCATTCACCAAATTGTGTCGTTTATTGTCGCAATGCGATATTGTAAAACAGGAAACAATAATTGTGGTTTCGGGTTTTGAATTTGATGTTAATGCAAATAGCTGTTCTCTTGAAATTATGTTGTCCATTTCAAGACAGCTATACTCATTCATTGGAATCAGCTCATCTATATTGTTAGTCAAGTTAGTCATGGTGTCTTACAGTTTTTATCAAATTACACCACGTTTGGTAAATTCTAATATTGTTTTATAGCGTCACAATCTTCGTGGCGCGTTGATATAAGCCCCATACGACATATACAACGTGTGTACAGTGCACTGTAATTTTCTAGCATAGGACTTGTCAAAATATATATATATATAAATACCTGTTTCTTGCATATCTTCACATTCTATCTCCTTACTGGTATTTATAAACACCTCACCATCTTTAAGAATCCATATAACGCCAGCTACGAGCTGCATAAACGGTACTTCCGGATTCGTAACTTCTTCTTGACTGAAATACCTGTTGGTTATTTGGAAAGAACGCCATCATGTTCGGTCATCGCCATCTTTGATTAAAGGCAATTCGTACTGTAATGTCATTTACCAGTCGTTAAATTTCAATTATAAAAAATCAACAATCTCCTAAACCCCACATCGCGTGCTTGGAAAGCACTGCTGCAACTACTATATCTGAAAAATATGGCCACTGAAAAACATATACTATGTTAAAGCGGGGGAGTCGTCACCTGCGCATGCGCCAGATGGC